ATATAGAGCCATTAAAAATAGTGTAATTTTCTTGTGCGTTTTGGTCATTTTTAGTAGTTGTTTTTTATACTAGTGTGTGACAAATCAGATGTGTATGTTGTGTTCAGGGTCTGGCGCAGTTGTGCGAGACGATCGAGGAGTGCTGGGATCACGACGCGGAGGCGCGGTTATCAGCCGGCTGCGTGGAGGAGCGAATCTCTCAGATCCGCCGCCTGGCGAGCGTCACTACCTCAGACTGCCTGCTTTCCACCGTCACCTCGCTCACCAACGTGGACCTGCCTCCCAAAGAGTCCAGCATCTGACCCTCGTCTTTCCAAACTCAGAGAATCTCAAACCACATCGAAGCAGCTGCTATTTTATCCTAGCGTTTTTTTTTACTTTATTATTATTATTGTTGTTGTTATTATTGTTATTGTTATTTTTCTGATCGGATCAGTAACTACCAGCACACTTCTCTACTGTATTTTTATCATCAGAGCAAACGCAGAAGATTTTTAAACATGCATTCAGGTGCCGACAAATGAATGCTGACCGGTGCACGTACCTCGACGTTTTCAGTTCTGCCGATTCCGTTGATTTTTCTCGCTCATCTTCTTCTGGTTTTTCCGTTCGGATCGACGAGCAACCAGTTCATCTGAAGATTCAACAGTGCTGCAAACCCCGCGAGGATCATGATGACTGTTACATGCGCAACCCGACCTCCTCGCCGGGATTTCGCGTTCTTAATTCTCTTTTTCCGACAGTGTGCTATTCGAAAATTACGGAAAACGTGTCTTTTACGGAACTAACGGGTGTTGAGGAACACGACGGAAAAGACATCTGGACTAATTCCTTTCTTTCTTTCTTTTGTTTCGGTTTTATTTCGTGGTTGGCTTTTATCGAGTGGATATGGCTGGAAACTCTTGCATGTGGAAATATGGGAGGTTTGGTACGGAAATCTTTCTCAGGTATCCAGTGTCAAGGGGTCCATGACTGCCTTTCCCACGTCATTATAGGACAGAGAGAAATATAACAGTGCCCTGATGAATTTAACACTAAACATGCAAGACCGTGTGTGTGAGTGAGTGAGTGTGTGTGTGTTTGGTGCTGAGAGTTTGTTGAAAATAGAAAAAAAGACCATAAAAAGTTTGGCCCGTATGAACGTAAGTGTTGGTTTTTCCTGTCTAGTTTCTCTTGTAATAATGCAACATGTGTTTTGGACTCAGAAGGGTGAAATTCTGGGTCAAAACACCTCGAAATCAAAGGAAAAAAATAAGAAATGATATTTGTCGTAAATAAAATGAAGGCTTTTTAGGAGCATTAAGATTTTTTTTTTTTTAATTGTGGCATTATAATTAAGCACATTTTCCTTCAAATTCTTATGACCGTAATGCAATTTATTATTTCTGGTAATTTCATCATTCTCAGTGCTTATTTTATTTCTGCAATACTTTAATTTATGCTGGTGATTTATACATGTTTTACCCGAAATTCTAATGACCATAATGCATCCTGATGATTTGTTTTTTATTTTTATTATTTTTATTTATTTTTTGGTAATTCTTATTGTTCTCAATGTTGACTACATAAATCTTATATAATAATTTACGCTGATTTAAATTTTTTTTTAAATCAGTACAGGTAGTACAACAAAATATGAAATGATATTAAAACATTTTACCCTAAATTCTCATGACTGTAATGCATCGAAAATTTTTTTTTTTTTTTTAATGCTTATTATTAGCATTATTTGTATTATTTTTGTAATTCTAATTATTCTCAATGTTGATTCCAATTAGATTCTTATTACTATAATATAAAAATTAATGCTGGTTTTAATTAAAAGTGCTGAAAAAAATGATATAAAAACATGATCAAATTCTGATTTTTACTTTTTTATTTTTTCATTTTTGGTAATTCTCATTATTCTCAATGCTGATTCTAATTATTACTGTAATATAATTAAGCTGAATTATTATTTTTTTTTAATCAGTTCAGGCAGTCCAACAAATACTGCAATCTATAAATTAAAATAATAAAAAAGTGATTTTTTGTAAAGATAATTTTGGGGGCAAATGTGCTTAATTGTTGTGAAAATATTAAACAATGCAAAATATCTAAATATAGGCAAAAGCAAAGTACAATTTCTTATTTTTTTCTTTGACTTTTAAGCTGAAATACGACCCTGTTTTATGCGATTCACCCGGGAAGTGTTTGGTTTTGTGTGTTTTGGTCGGGTCCCTTCATGTATTACCTCTCTTTCTAACAGGGACCAAATCTGAGATCTGACCTCCGACGATATTGAGACTTCAGTTTGGGGCTAAAAATTAGAGATCGTCAGACTTCACTTTGACCAGGTGACATTTGACTCATTAGCAAAGACAAAAAACACAAGAATGATATTTATTTTGTCTTAAAAGTGGCTAGTGATCCACGTTTCCATATGCCATAATTCAAGAGTGAGTTTCCACAGTGCTGCTTCTGCTGTTTGGATGAAACATCGTGATATTTTCTATATCTTCTCAGTAAAGTTCATCCTCAGATGCAACCGCGTGTCACCAGACATTCAAAAGGCTTCCGAGACGAACGAGCGCAACTCTAAACAATAAAATTAGTTGTGAAAGGACAAAAAAAGTTATTATTCATGAACCACAGACCACCTCAGACCAGAAATACCTCAGATTTTCTACGTGTTTGACTTCTGTTATATATTTTGTTAGTTGTGTTGACTTGTAGTAAGTATATTTTGATGTAAGTTGGCTTTTATGATTAGGAAAGATGTTTTTGGAGAAGTAAAAAGAAAAAATACACAAAAAAAAGAAGTGCTACTAAGTTGTGTTGTATAAACAAGAGAAACCTTTGATGTAAATAGCTGTAAACAGTTGTAGTATCGTGCCGATCAGTGAAACAGGGCATTATTCTGCTTATTCTTCCTGTCTCTGACTTCACGGGACATTGAACCTTAAATGTTTGGCGCTTCTTCCAAAAATTTGATTGTATTTCCCTATTTTTACTTGCACAATTTTTTACCTACCGCTTGTACGACGTTACGAGGGACAAAATTGAACCTGACGTTCAAAAGAAACCTTAAAGGGATTAAAGTTCAACAATGACATTTATGTCTTCATTTACACTCGCTCAAGTTATTAAAACCTGCATGACTTTATTTCTTCTGTTGAACACAAAAGAAGTTATTTTGAAGGCCTAAAAGTTGCCGGTAGCCATTGACTTCCATTCTACAAAATATCATCTTAAAAATATCTTATTTTGAAGAATGTTGGAACCAAATAGTTGACGGTAGCCATCGACTTCCATAGTATTTTTTTTTCCTACAATGGAAGTCAATGGCTAGCGTCAGCTGTTTGGTTACTAACATTCTTCAAAATATTGTTTTCAAAATATATTATTTTGAAGAATGTTGGCAACCAAACAGTTGACGGCAGCCATCGACTTCCATAGTATTTTTTCTCCATACTGTGGAAGTCAATGGCTGCTGTCAACTTTTTCGCTCCACATTTCCTTCAACATTTTTCTAAATATTTTCTTCAAAATATCTTATTTTGAAGCATTTTGGGAACCAAACAGTTGACGGTAGCCATTGACTTCCATAGTATTTGTTTTTCCTATTATGAAAGTCAATAGCTACCATCATCTGTTTGGTTACCAACATTCTTCAAAATAAGATATTTTTAAAACAATATTTTGAAGAATGTTAGTAACAAAATAGCTTCTCCAAAATATCTTAGTTTGAAGAATGTTGGTAACCAAAATATCTTATTTTGAAGCATTTTGGGAACCAAACAATTGACGGTAGCCATTGACTTCCATAGTACTTTTTTCCTACTATGAAAGTCGATGGCTGCCGTCAACTGTTTGGTTACTAACATTCTTCAAAATATTTCATTTGTAGAATGTTGGGAACCAAACAATTGACGGTAGCCATTGTCTTCCATAGTATATATTTTTCTTTCATACTATGGAAGTAAATGGCTACCGTCGACCCCAAAGTATCTTTTGATGACCGAACTGTCATTTTTGGGTGAACTATCCCTTTAAGAATTGACTGTAAACCCAACGCTTACCAAATGACCTCGGCCAAATTTTACCGGCGATTTCACAAAGATTTTCAGGGCCAAATGAAGGTTCGGTGTCCCGAACGTTTGTGCCATTTCTCTGCTCTCTATACCCATGATGCACTGCAGCGGTCGCTTCGACTTCCTCTCAAACCCAGCTCAGAGCTTTAAGTTATCCATTATGGTGCCATATATCATGAGTTGAAATGAAGATCCGTCTTTGACAACTTTTTGATTGACCTTTTTAGATCACAAGTCAGCTGTTAATTTTTTTTATTTAATTAAATTTTTATGTTTTTTATTTTTAATACATTACATTTTTTAAATTTTTTCCCCCGGTGCGCTTCATTGGTCTCTTTTGTTTTCGGTTGCGATGTCGTAGCATTAGAAACGTTGCGACGCCCAATTCTGGCACGGCGAAATCCCAAAGTGCCAAAGTAGCGCGTTTCCCAGCGATGGCTCGGCCAATGACGGGTCAGCTCTGCATCTCGATATTTTCAGGAAACTGCGTTCTCTTCAGGTTAACCGGGAAAGTTCGGATTGGTTGCGCAATCGGAGAGTTTCCAACCGACTCAGACGATGTAGCTAGCAATATCTCCAGCAATAGTCTGTAGACGACCTTTGGGCATTGAGATCCACATCAGGCCAGCTTCGATCGCGTGCTCGTAGACCTTCGTGGCGTTTCGATGAACTGACGTAGTTTCGTTTGAAATAACGTACGATATGTAGCCAAATTCCTTCTGCGAGAGGAAAACCAAAGGCTTTGATTATGTTTAACATTAGCTGATTGTGTCTTTAAAAGTGAGGTTTTAGTGTTGCCAGACTGTACTGGAGGAGTTTGTGATCTTCTCTAGTGGTCGGATGAAATGAAAGGCTTTCGGTTTGTTTTATGCATCATATTGTGGGTGGTTTCGGCGAGTTTTCAGACTGTGAGAGATGTGATTTATGCAATGCACTCACACGCTTCATTATGCACTAAAGACAGTCCAGTATGTCGTCACCTCCAATTACACCTGATTTACAGCCTTCTAACACCTTTGTATCTCATGAAACTTCTTAAGAAACATATTTCACACCATAACAAAAATAAATTATATTTTGCATATTTTTAGGATCAAGGTAACTAATTCTATCGCTGCATATATATACATATATATATTAAAGAGCGACAAAACGGTATTTATTGCTTGAATTTCCTAATAAAATCGACAGAATTTGAAAATCTGAGACTTTGTTTCGTATCAAAAGTAACAACACACAAAGCTTAGCCTATTGGGATTTATTGGATAGATGTACAGTTGTTCATCAACTGAAAACAGAATCGATTGGGATTTAAGAATCGATATTGGTTCATAAAAATGAGAATCTATTAATATCGAGAAATCTATTTTTTTTAACCCAGCCCGAGCATATTTATTTGTTTTTAGTGGCCTCTGCTGTGACTGTGGTGTGTGATGTTGAACATGAAAACATCTGTTCTCTCATAAATAAATAAATGCATAAGTTTATATGCTCATCATGTAGGTTCATTATTAAAAATTAAAATGTGAACAAAAATACAAGCAATTAAATGTGTTATTATAATTAAAATATAAATATAATTATTAAAATATGATAATTAAAATGATGGGTAATAATAGATAATGATGGAATTTTTACAACCCTTTCCGTCAAAATGACGGACAATGTTAGTCTAACGCAACCTCTGAAATTAATCTTTAAAGTTTTATTTAAAAAAATTGTATATTTATAAAAAGTATATATATATATATGTGTGTGTGTGTGTGTGTGTGTGTGTGTGTATATATATATATATATAAAACATTAAAATAAAATTGACTTGAAATAAAGTATAACTGAAATAATATTTCTTACAAATATATAGATATTGTTTAAAAAAATTCTAAAAGTTTAACTAAAATTAAAATGAAAACAAAATATTAATTAAAATATTATTTACAACTATAACAGTAAATCTTAATCTTTTTTAATTTATATTTTCTGTTTATTTTTTAAGTTTTAGTAATTTTGTGCTTTTGTCATGTTTTTGTCTTTTTTTTTTTAAACAATGTTTATATATTTTTAGGCAATTTTATTTCAATTTTAGTATATTTCAAGTCAACCAAAATTACCTAAATTTAAAAATAAAAATGAAAGATAAAATAAAATAAAAAATAAAAATGTTGCTTTGTCAACTGCCTGCAATAAAAAGGTTTTTGTAATTTTTTTGTTAATTAACATTTATTTTATTTCAAGAAACAAATGTATTAATTG